AATATTTTAATTTGGCCTGGGTTTAAAGTCTCAACTCCTGGCTCTATATGTCGATTTTTGGAAGTAGAGTGAAGACAACTGGTCTGTGCACCCATCAAAAACTGACATGCAAAGATGCCCATGTTTTCTGCAATGCCATATTATTAAATACATATGTATTATAACATTTACCACATACCTATCTCCATTCCTCACTGTGAGCATATCGAGGGCTAGTCTTTTAGATGTCTATGTCTTCCTAGGGCTTAGTATTGTGCTGGCATATGTAAGGGACTCAAAGAATATTAACTGAATAAATGAAAAATAAAGACTTGATCAATCTTAACCTATTGATACTTCAGGTCAAGGTTACATATCAAAAAGCCTGTTCTCTGAACAACTGGTTTTTCTGAAGAAACTTTATATTATACTCGGCAGTTGTTTTAATAATCTCTCTTTCTCTCTCATTTTAGAGAACTGAGAGTTGAAGCATGCAGGAATTGGCAAATACAGTCAGCAGGCCAAATCCTGTCCATTGTCTGTTTTTGTAAATAAGGTCTTATAGTCATACCCACTCATTTATGTATTGTCTATAGCTGTTTATGTGCTACCGTGGCATCCTGACAATTGCAACTGTACTGTCTGGCCACTTGCAAAAAAGCTGTCTGAACCCTGCTTTAAAGTGGTATCAACACCTAGCACATAGCAGGCACACATATATTTAAGTGAATTAGTACACTACTTATTGGGTCGTCCTTCGTGGCTCAGTTGGTAAAGAATCTGCCTGCAATGCAGGAGACCTGGGTTCGATTCCTGGGTCGGGAAGATCCCTGAAGAAGGAAATGGCAACCCACTCCAGTATTCCTGCCTGGAGAATCCCATGGACAGAGGAGTCTGGCAGGCTATAGTCCCTGGGGTCACAAGAGTCAGATATGACTTAGCAACTAAACCACCACCACACTACTTATTAAAAGAGTTAAGACTGAATTCCTACTATGGGAAAGTCACTGACTCAGCACTGTAAGGAATATAAAAATGAAGATGCATATGGCAGCCACTGTTTTCAAAAGGGAGTTCATCACTGTGTGGGATGTTTCATTGAGATAAATATAAGACAGGAATGTAGGAATCTATGAGAAGCTTTTGAGGCTCAAAGGATACAGAAATAGGGTGCTTAGTAATAAGGGATTAACATAGAAAGGCCATTCTTTTTGAAAGTAATGACTGAGAAAATGATGACACTGCTACTAGAAACTCAATGTGCCTTAACCCTCTCCAGACCTTATCTCCATCTCTCAGAAGACAGGTCCACACCAGGCACCCCAGTCAACTTAGCTTCATGTCTGTTTTCTTCATTACAACAAAACTGTACCCTACTCAGTCTTATATAAACCCCAATTTTTTAAATTTATAGGCCAAGGAGAGTACATGTGCTTAATTAATGGCTTTTGAGTAAATCTGGAAAGAATTCATCCCGCAACAGCTTAAACCACATTGTTGTCAAAATCAGGATCTTATATAAACATCAAAGCAGCAACAAAGTAAACATAAAACAATAGAAAATGCATCTGAATTTCTTTATGGAAAATAAATGATTCTTTATGGAAAGTATATAGTAAAATATAGATCTAAAATTCAATAGATTTGAAAAATTACAACTGAACAAACAACATCAAAGCTGGGAGTACTCTAACTTATTTTGTCAGTAAGTCAGCAGCAATATAATGGCTGCCTCTGATGGTGCCTGGTATTACTGTCATAGTCTTTTCTGCTTCAAAACACCCATTTACTCTCTGAAAACAGAAACATGGTGAGAAATGATGTGCAAGAGGTCATCTTACACGAATTCTCCTCCACTGGGAATGTGAGCTCCACAGAGTCAAGAACGGTTTTCCTTCCTGCTATCAGTCTAGTATGTATAACACCTGGACCACAGTGGGTACTCACTAAGTGTCCACTGAATGAATGAATGGATTTACTTAAGCCGACATACTTACATTTACAGTGAGTGAGCGAGTGAAAGTCGCTCAGTCGTGCCCGACTCTTTGCCACCCTATGGACTATACACAGTACATGAAATTCTCTAGGCCAGAATACTGGAGTGGGTAGCCTTTTCCTTCTCCAGGGGATCTTCCCAACCCAGAGATCAAACTCAAGTTACGTGGATTCTTTACCAGCTGAGCTACAAGGGAAGCCCATTTACTTTTATAAGAAGATACAAATTCAGTCCTGTGTATTCTGGAAAGAAAACGCCTAAAGAGCAACAAATTCCTTAGGTTGAGATACACATTCTATGATCACCTAAATCTAAACATAGAAGTTGAATAAAGTAAAGCTAAAGCACAGGAAAACTTAAGATTTCTCTAGCTGATCAGTTATGTAATGGGACAATTGTCATAAACTCTCCAAGAATGAACAAATACAACCAGTGGAATCACCAATACCAAGTATTTGGTCAAAAGACTACTCTGAAGTTACTAGAGTGCTATAAATCGTATAATATACTTAAAATCAGAAAGTCACAGGAAAATACATTTCAACCTTCTAAGTACTTTTCAGGAAATAATAAAATCCTCCTTATCTTAAATTAGAAGCCTGCATTTTATAACCTATAATAATCTTACTTAGATGTTCTCTGAATGTACTTTGCTTTAATGGTGTAATTGTTATTAAGTACACAATGAAATGTAAACTCTCATCTTAGCCTATCTATGAATGTATAATCTGATGATCACAGGTTTAAAGATCTTTAATTAAAAAAAAAAACTACTTCTAAATGTATCTCCATAGTATCAAATTTCATTATTCACGATTAGAAACAAATAAAACTGGGGAGTTTTGTAGAAATTAGGATAACTATAATTAAGGCTGACTTAACAGTCAGAGATATAAGGATGTACCTTAACCCAACATAGGTCCACCTTCAGGATAAAGGGCATCTCACTTAGAGTTTCTAACATTATTATTGACTTAAAGTGAAAAACATCACTAATCAAAGTTATGCAGCATGGCAATTTTTAAAAACAAGATTCTTAGACCTTGGTTGTAAGCTACTGCTTCCTCTTCTTTGATGGCATTTTCATATATCATTGAGTTTAAGTAAACAACTCAAATGGGGAAATCTGGAGGACATGTTTTCCCACATAGATAAGGGAAAGTCAGAATACTTTTCATGTTACTCAGTTTGGCTTGGGTTTAGTATTCTAGGTATTCCTTAAAGTCAATAGCATTCAACTTTTACTTTATTACTCTACCATTGTCTCCCCTCTGGGGATTAAAAAGGTTAATCCAAGGCTCAACTGAAATCCTTCATAGGTTTCTAAAGAAGGAAAGCCATAATATAAGAGAAAATAAAGGCTCTTGTAGGGAAATGGAGCCCAGAGAAGTTGAGTGTTTAGAATTAGGTCATCTGATCTTCACTGCAGTATAGTCCTTTGACCTTATTTGGTGAAGGTTTATCCTCTTTGGTCCTTTTTTAAAATACTATCTACCAATCTCACTTGTATCCTCCTGTCTTGCTATGTTCAGATTTCTTTCTATGCAACTTCCTGAAAAGGTTTTACCAACTGCTCCCCTCCGGGCTGTGTCATGCTCCAGGCATTTCTGTCACTCTCCGAGAAAACTCTGTCCTCTAGGACAAGCTGAGATCACCATTCCCATTCTCTCTTCACAGATTTACAGTATGTATTTCCAAGTCAAAAATGAATACTATCTGGGCCTAAGCAGTCTACCCTACATTATAAACTTTAAACTATGCAGTATCTTACATTTACCTTACCTTTTATAATAGGTAAGGAATTCAAGGAATTTTGGTTTCCCTGAATTTTGAAAGAAGATGTTTTTTAAGAATCCATCTATCTGTTTTAATAGTAGTAATAACAGCAATAGTAGCAATAGTAATAATAAAAGCATGCACTTACCATGTGCTAAATATTTATCTCACTCTCTCATGACAACCTGATTATTATTACCCCCCAGTTTATAGATGAGGAAACTAAGGCAGTTAGGCTACGTAATTTACTCATGTTAATGTAATCAGCAGCAGACTGAGCTGGGATTCAAACCCAGCTTTGTTCACGGCTTGGATGCTTAAATCTCTAAGCTACACAAGCAGATGAGACCAATCATATTTAGTCTGAAGTGGATCTAGTAGTTTTGCTAATGAAACAAAAGGGGGAAAGCATCACAGATCTTAAAAGATCAGTGTTCTGTAATTTAATGTAATGCACACGTAACTGGCACTTATTAAGGACACACTGCAGGGACTCTTAAAGATCTGTCAACATTGTCTACTTCATCAACCCGTTAAAGAAGGGACAGAGAACCTACTGATACTAAAACTCTCAAATCACAAGGTTTGTTAGAGCCTGGCTTTCTTCACGTTCTGTGTAGAGCTCTTTCCACTGTGATATATTCAATGGTCAGTTTATCACACGAATTTTTTTATTCCTAAAGCAAAACCTGGAACATTGGAACTCTGTTGTATAGAACAGGCTTCCTCGGTGCCTCAGTAGTAAAGAATCTGCTTCAGTGCAGCAGATGCAAGCGACTTGGGTTTGACCTCTAGGTCAGGAAGATCCCTTAAGAGTAGGAAATGGCAACCCACTCCAGTATTCTTGCCTAGGAAATTCCATGAACAGAGGAGCCTGGTGGGCTACAGTTCATGGAGTGGTACAGCAGCTGGCCATGCCTGAGGATGCATGCCCATACACCTGTACACACACCTACATACACACACATACATACACCTGCTTGAAATACAATGGAATTTTAAAACGTTTCAGTTGCACATGATGCTATTTTAAAATATTCTAACCAGGGTGATTTTTCAATTGCATTTATCCTATAGTATGATGTGTGATTATCTAAAAATTTTAATTTGAAGGTCATTTTTAAAAGCCTAGGCTCTTCTGACAGCCAGATAATTAGTAAAATAACTAGCCACTTCCACTAAGCAAGCTACTTAGTTGTACTACAGAATTAGAAAACATTTAAAGAAATGGAAAGAGAAGCAACTTTACCTTACTAAATTTTGCTGTATATTTTCTACCTTCATTAAAATTCGGACCCCAGTCTGAGAGCAAATGTAGGCTTTCAACCTGAAATAAAAATGTCATATTAAAGGAAGTAAAACTGCTTTTTAGTGTATTTTATTTTATTTTTTCAGTGTATTTTAAAACTGTGTCTATGGAAAACTAAGCATCTATGAATAGCTAATTATAATCCTTAGAATTTACCTATCCTAGCATAGAAAAAGTGTTAAAGATACTTTCTAACCAACAATCTAAATGTAAAAAAATTACCTATCTTCTCTCTGTACAGATTAATCTTGCTAATTTATTAATTTTTTTAAAAAAAGTATCCAATTTGATGACAGGTATTTTGCCTTCTTGTTAAATATATGACCAGTGATAACAATTAGATTATTCATAGTAAGAGGAAAGGCTTCTTTAGTGGTTCAGTGGTAAAGAATCTGCCTGCTAAGCAGCTCAGGGTTTGATCCCTGGGTTGGGAAGAACCCCTGGAGCAGGAAATGGCAACCCACTTCAGTATTTTTGTCTGGGAAATGCCACAGACACAGGAGTCTGGGGGGCTACAGCCCATGGGATCGCAGATAGTCAGACATGAGCTAAATGACTAAACAACGACTACAGTAAGACGAAAAGAAACACGGTAGTGGTCCCAAAGACATTGTGTGGTGTGCGACAGATTGGGTTTGAGTCTAGACAACATTTTTTATGAAAATTAGAAGATGAGATTTAACTAGAGCTGAATCAGATGCTTTAGAATTCACCCAATTTAAAATGTAAAACAAACCAAGCATTACTATCTTAAGCAGGTATCACCTGGTAAAAAGAAACTCCTGCTGAGAAACACATTCCCATACTAACAGTTTCCTTCTTTCAGTGCCGACTACTATGTGTAAGACTCTGTACCAGGAACCTTATATACGTAATTTTTTAAAAGCTTCATAACAACTCTATCTAGTAAACATCATCATTCTCATTTTACTGATGGAAAAAATTAAGGCCCAAAAGTTAGGTAAGTAAGTTGGCTCCTGATCACATAGCTAATAAGGGACAGAATTAGCTATTCTAAAGCAGATATTCATAACTGAATCTTTCCACTGTGCTATGTTAACCATTTTTGTCCATCTATTTCTGGACAGGAGGCAGAACTACATTACTTAGTTTTATGAAGACTTGGCTGAAACAGGATTTCCTGTCTTTAACTACATGGAAACTCTAATTTTCAGAGTTTTGAGTTCAACTTTGAAAGGCAGTTTAGTTTAAGAGGTAAGAGTACAGACTCTGAATCCAGGCCACCCAAATTTGAATCCTAGTTTCCCTAATTATTGGCTCTATGAGGTCACCTAACCACTGTAAGGCTCAGCTTCTCCACCTGTAAAATGGATATAATGGCAATAATCTACTTTAAAGGGTTACTGTGAAGATTAAATGAATTAATACAAAGTGTTAAGTACTGTTATTATGACTATAACCAAAATTCTCACCCAAAACATCACCCCTGACTGACAAAGCCTTGAGTACACCCCAAGGAAATGGGACAGAAAGTAAACTGTATGAAAATATCACATTCTAATAAAAATATGGCTTTATTTAATAAATATGCACATAATACACACCTCATTATGTAGAATAATTTCAGAAAGTTACAAGATTTTTGAAACATACCTTTGACGAATTACAGGATCAGACTTTTCAGGATCAATGTAAGGTCTTAGGATTTCATTAATAGTTTTATCATCTGGTACTCTTCCCAACAAAAACAAAAACAAAATTTATTATTTATAATTTTCTACTAAAGGTGTTAATTTAGAATTATTAAATATTGTGGCTTTAGAGAAATAACTGAACACAGACCTTTTATTCTAGTCTTGGCAAAATATAACATCCTTTTAAGCAAAAATTACTTAGGAAAAAAGCTCATACATATTCATATACATTACTGTGCTACATATCCCTACCTGTAAAATATAAGTCCTTTCCCTGTTGTTAGTCAGTTAGGCAACCTTAAATAAGAAAGTTCTTCCATAAAATTCATATGGCAATTACAAAGAAAGGACATTTATGCATAGTATGAATATGTGCTAAAGATATTATTTAAAAGGCAACTTTAAAATTTTCTTAACCCAAGGAATCAAATAGTATACCACCATTCAAATTTTTAAATGGTATCTGAAAATGTTCATAATATGAAAAAAGTAGGATAAACAACTGTTATGTGAATTAATTCCAATTATCAGTATATATATTATTCATGTCCAAAATAATGCATTTTCTGAGGACACATTGTGATGTTAATAGCAGTAATTTTATCATAGTAGAATTTGGGATTATTTTTCATTTCCTGTGTAACCACCTGGTTGAAGATTTTTCCTCTTGATTCAGCCCTCCTGATTCTCCCTATGCTGCCCCCCTTAACATCTGTCCCCATGTTGAAGTAAACACTATTATGATTTCTGTGCTAATCACTTCCCTCAGAGTTCTACCACTACTATAGGTATTCCTAAAAAGTATACTTTTATTTTTTCCATATTTACATACAAAAATCATACTCTATATTCTTCCTTAACTTTGTTTTCTCACTCGACATTACTTTTGAGGTTCATCCATGTTGATATGTGTAATTGTAGTTGATTCATCTTCAGTTGTGTGTAGCATTTCATTGTATAAATATCCCATACTTAGTTATCCATTCTACTACTGACATCACATTTAACATTTTATTTTAAATATGGAGACATAATGAAAACAAGTAAGTTCTGAATAGATAGTGGTGATACTGTACCTTTTTTCTACATACACAGCTTGACTCTGAGGAAACTGAAGCTTCACATGCCAACAAAACTGTTGTTTTCTAAGAGAGAAAATAATCATGTGGGGGATCAAGGCAGACAACGGAAATCTAAACACACAACTAACTTCCTAAATTTTTGTTTTCGGATAATAATTCTAAAAGCATTCTTAGAGTTTAACATATTTTTTTTTTCTACTAAAAGCTATTTTCTCTTTTCTAGAATGTTAGAGGCTATGTTTTTTAAACAATATTCTTGCAAGAGGTTTTAAGAGGAAAAAATATTAAGCAGAACAGAAATTCCAAGGACTTCACATTCTTGAATTAAAAGGCAATTTCTCATAGTTCAGGGGTTTCTGAGATCAGTGAGCTACTAGTTGAAGTTTACAAATAAATTTCCTCATGACTAAAAATAAAAAGCTGATGTCTCTGCCTGACTAGTCTGGAAATGAGGTGAATGAAGTATTGTCCAGTTGAGACCAGCTGGCTGCAGATACACTTCTGAGCCATGAGTACGTGCATTCAGTAGCAAAACAGGAGACAACAAGTTGGTTGCTAAGGAGAAAGCACTCTGAGTTAGCCCATTCACTGTTAGTCTAAACTTTGGCTTGACACAGAATCAACTGTAACAATTCACTAAATGCATGGTTTTTAGAAAAATGGCCATATGCTCTATCTAATACATCTAAATTTGGTGACACTAGAGACCATTCCTTTTAAAAAAAATTTAATGCTCAAAATATTCAATCCATTACAGAAATGTAAATGTCTTCACTACATGATTATTTTATACCTGTTTTCCTTTCTTAGCAAATAAATTTCTAACAACCCACTGGCAAGTTTATTGCTAGCTGTATGTACAAGCAATGGTCAACATCTCCTATAAATCTATCCCTTAGCAGCATAGTCCCAAAATCTAAAATAATTTTTTCTTAATACAATCTGGTAGAATATCTCCCACAAAACATTTATATGATTTTGTCAGTTTTTTGTGTGAAGACTAACATAAAATTCAGTAAAAATCCTTCTATTAATGTAAGTTATCACAGATTTGCTTATGGATGCTTTCTTTAGTAACAAGATAGTTTTGGGAGAAAAATAGAGAAAAATATATTGATGGTGCTTGCTAGTGCCACTTATACAAGAAGCAATCATGTTACATTTAATTTTTTTTGGATAGATTTAAGCTGTAAAGTAGCCCTTACCGATTTAAAGTTTGGATATCTAAAATCTCAGAGGAGAAAACTTAAAAAAAACCCAAAAAAACCTGAACACAAACACAACAGTTGCTGGTTTTAAATAAAGAATTCTTCTCAAATGAAACGCCTTGCAGTATTTGTTATCTGTGAAATAGGTAAGTATAGTATCAGTATCAAGAGGCCAAGAGACACCACATTTCTTAGTATGAAGTAATTTTTTAATCTTAATTCACAATATGGTTTCCTTCTAAATATATTTAAGTTACAGAGGGAAGAGAAAAGATTACCAGCTTGTCATGTTTTGGAATTATAAATCATAATTACCACAATCATTGCTTGAGTAATTTCAAGAATGATTCGCCTTTCTTAACATTCAGTGGACCCCAGATACCCTCAGAAAGTACTTAACATTCCAAAAACAAAGACAGAAAAGTCCTTGTAAATAATTTTATTAGTTGTAGTTAACTTGTTGTGGCTATATGTGAATCATTCATTACTATTTTATTATATATTGCTAAATTATGCCTATTATCTATATTTGGCCCAAGTTCAAACATGAACAAATCTGAAAAGTGTATTTAGCTTAAAAACAAAAAGACAATAAAAACACTCAACATATACATAGTCAACCAACTTGCATGTTGCCATACTTATATGCTTGAGATACTTTCTTCTAAGAAATGTACGATTATAAATGTGGTTGATGAGTCTCTTCACTGTTCCTTGATCCAATTCCCTTCTCTTTAAGAGAGGTAATTACTATCCTGAGGTTGGGTATCTATTTTTGCCATTTATGGTTTTACATTTTTAATACATATATAAACATATCTATAAGCAATATTTTGTGTGATAGCAACAACTATTTCAATGTTATCATACTCTAAATACCTCATGTCATGCTCTTAATGTTATGCTTTGGAGACTTATGATGATACATGTAAATTAGTTCATAAATTTTAACCATTATATAGTATTCCATTGCACAAAGAATGCCAAAATCTATTTATCGACTCTCTACTGATAGATATTTATAACTGCTTCCCATTTTTTTACCACTTGTTCTTGTTCTTACATCACAATAAAGAAAAAATAGAAGAATGGCCTCAGGGATGGGGCTATCATCTACCTTTTCTGGTACACAGAATTTAAAGTTAACTTCACTGAAAAACTGCCTCTATGTTTTTATTCTATGATAGTATAAGAGGCATTTGTGAACAGTAATGTGGAGTCTAAAATTTAAGAGAGAGTGGATAAAGAGGTTGAAGAGTACTGTATAAAAAATTCCTGAAATGAATGAGTTAATTAATTACCCCTGAAGTGGTTCTTTAGTGTTCCTGAAATTGATGTGGTCCTGACTAAGGCAATGAAATCTCTAAGTCTGAAAGAATTAACTTTGTTTTTCATTTTTCATACGTACATAGAGTGACATGGGCTTCCCTGGTGGCTCAGCAGTAAAGAATCTGCCTGCAATGCAAGAGACTGGGTTTGATCCCTGGGTCAGGAAGATCCCTTGGAGAAGGGAATGGCTACCCACTCCAGTATTCTTGCCTGGAGAATTCCATGGACAGAGCAGCCTGGTGGGCTACACTCCATGGGGTCGCAAAGAGTCAGAGACAACTGAGTAATTGAATAGCAGCATATCACTATGTGAAAGTGAAAGGAGCCACTCAGTTGTGCCTGACTCTTTGTGACCCCATGGACTACAGACCACCAGGTTCCTCTGTTCATGGGGTTTTTCCAGACAAGAATACTGGAGTGGACTGCCATTTCCTTCTCCAGGGGATCTTCCTGACCTAGGGATCAAACCCACATCTCCTGCATTGCAGGCAGATTCTTTACTGCTGAGCCACCAGGGAAGCCCATATAGTGATAAAAGTCCTGCTTAAAAAAATACATACATCAAAGTGAAAGTAGTCAGTCATGCCCGACTCTTTGTGACCCCATGGACTACAGCCCAGCAGGTTCCTCTGTCCATGGGTTTTTCCAGACAAGAATACTGGAGGGGACTGCCATTTCCGTCTGCAGGGGATCTTCCTGACCTAGGGATCAAACCCGCATCTCCTGCGTTGCAGGCAGATTCTTTACTGCTGAGACACCAGGAAAGCCCGTCTAGTGATAAAAGTCCTATTTAAAAAAATACATACATCAAAATCCCAATAACATTATTTTTGGGGTGAACTGAGTCCCCCTCTCTTTTGTTTGTAAATTTTCTGAAAGAAAACTTTGTAAAAAAAAAGAAGATTAAAATTAATAATGCTTCAATGAGCATCTCTAGGCATACATACAATTGTTTCTGAATTTTGGGTTATTTTCTAAATATAGATTCCAAGATATAGAATCATTAGGATAAAGCTGGGTTTCTCAACCTCAGCAGTACTGACAATGTGGACCAGATAATTCTATTATGGTTCAAGGTGTGGGGATACATTACCTTGTGCACTGCAAGATGTTTAGCAAGATGTTTAGAACCAGGCCTCTCACCATGAGATGCCACCAGCAACACCCACTCCTTCAGTTGTGACATCTAAAAATGCTCCCAAATACTGCTAATGTCCTCTGGGAGGCAAAATCATGATTTTTGATAACCACTGGGATAGAGGTTTAAATATTTATTATTGTTCTTAATGCATTAGGACTTCTGTTCCCTCAATTCAACAAAATGCCTTCAATTATGAAGATATCATTGTGTCTTTGCCATATATATCAACACTCTCAAGGATGGAATTACTATACCCAGAATATTCTTAGCAACTTCAGTTCAGTTCAGTTCAGTCGCTCAGTCGTGTCTAACCCTTTGCGACCTCATGAATCGCAGCATGCCAGGCCTCCCTATCCATCACCAACTCCCAGAGTCTACTCAAACTCATGTCCATCGAGTCGGTGATGCCATCCAGCCATCTCATTTTCTGTCGTCCCCTTCTCCTCCTGCTCCGAATCCCTCCCAGCATCAGGGTCTTTTCCAATGAGTCAACTCTTCGCATGAGGTGGCCAAAGTATTGGAGTTTCAGCCTCAGCATCAGTCCTTCCAAAGAACAGCCTTCTTGGCTGTTCTGCAAGTTAGATCTCCTTGCACTCCAAGGGACTCTCAAGAGTCTTCTCCAACACCACAGTTCAAAAGCATCAACTCTTCTGCGATCAGCTTTCTTCACAGTCCAACTCTCATATCCATATATGACCACTGGAAAAAGCACAGCCTTGACTAGACGGACCTTTGTTGGCAAAGTAATGCCTCTGCTTTTTAACATGCTATCTAGGTTGGCCATAACTTTCCTTCCAAGGAGTAAGCGTCTTTTAATTTCATGGCTGCAATCGCTATCTGCAGTGATTTTGGAGCCCCCCCAAAATAAAGTCTGTCACTGTTTCCACTGTGTCCCCATATATTTTCCACGAAGTGATGAGACCAGATGCCATGATCTTGGTTTTCTGAATGTTGAGCTTTAAGCCAACTTTTTCACTCTCTTCTTTCACTTTCATCAAGAGGCTCTTTAGTTCTTCTTCACTTTCTGCCATAAGGGTGGTATCATCTGTGTATCTGAGGTTATTGATATTTCTCCTGGCAATCTTGATTCCAGCTTGTGCTTCCTCCAGCCCAGCGTTTCTCATGATGCACTCTGCATATAAGTTAAATAAACAGAGTGACAACATACAGCCTTGACATACTCCTTTCCCAATTTGGAACCAGTCTGTTGTTCCATGTCCAGTTCTAACTGTTGCTTCCTGACCTGCATACAGGTTTCTCAAGAGGCAGGTCAGGTGGTCTGGTATTCCCATCTCTTTCAGAATTTTCCACAGTTTATTGTGATCCACACAGTCAAAGGCTTTGGTATAGTCAATAAAGCAGAATTAGATGTTTTTCTGGAACTC